CATTTCCATTTTTGGAGAGGATATAGGATCTACACAGCCAATAAAAAGTTCAGCGACTAAGTGACTTGCACCATAGTTTTCTTTGTTCTTATTATTATGCAAATCTGATATTCTTATTATAATAATTTCTTTCTAATTTTAAATTTTGAGCAATCCTTTTGCTTCTTCCTCTTGGCAAGTATTGTAATATAAACTATTTCGAAAATGTTGACAAGTATCACATAAATCAGTCCTTAGACTCATAATTTGAATCTCTGGTGTCAATTGATAATTTCAAATTGCTATCATCCTCCATACCAGCCAGAAAATGCCTGTGCACTGATTTTCAGCCAGTAAAAATATAACAATTGAGTTGTTCTATTGTTACTTCCTCCTGAATGTAGATCAAAACTAATTAACATCATGTATAAACTTTTTTTCAACAATTGTAAAAATAAAAATTGCATCTTCTCATTCAAAAAAAAAGATATAACTATAAAATTAAGTGATATTATAACAAATGTAACGGCACACATGGTGACAGAGAGTTTTTTTTAATTTTATTAGTAAAATCATCCAAAATGTTAAAAATACTGTTAAACTTTGAAATGTATAGGCTCAATAATCAAACAAGTTAGAGTAAAAAAATTTCCATGGTTTTTTTCTCTGCGATTCAAAGAATAGCCTGCCAGAGAGTTTTTTTAATTTTATTAGTAAAATCATCTAAAATGTTAAAAATACTGTTAAGCTTTGAAACGTATAGGCTCAATAAACAAACAAGTTAGAGTAAAAAAATTTCCATAGTTTTTTTCTCTGTGATTCAAAGAATAGCCTGACAGAGAGTTTTTTTTTAAATTATTAGTAGATTAAGGATTTATAAGAATTCAAATTTATGTGATTTTATTATAAAATTTTTGATCTTTTTTCCTTTGAAAATCTTTTCCTTTTTGAAGAAAATGCTTAATAAAATAAATAACATTATTTTCTCGTTCAATTAATCTTATACAATGAGTAAAGGTTCTGAGGAATTAGTTTTCATTTTTTTGGCTGCACATGCATTATGAATTAGTCTTTTTCTTTTATTGGGCTTTGGTATTTTATTAAACACGAAGACTTTTTCTTATGATTCTTATTAAGATACTTCACGTTTTCTTTAAAAGGAAATGATTATTGAAAGATTTTTATTAATAAAATCATACATCTTTAATCCTTTAATAAACTTTTTTTACTAATAATTTTTAAAAAAACTCTCTGGCAGGCTATTCTTTGAATCACAGAGAAAAAAAACATGGAAGTTTTTTTACTCTAACTTGTTTGATTATTGAGCCTATACATTTCAAAGTTTAACAGTACTTTTTAACATTTTGGATGATTTTACTAATAAAATTAAAAAAAACTCTCTGTCACCATGTGTGCCATTGCATTTGTTATAATATCACTTAATTTTATAGTTATATCTTTTTTTATGAATGAGAAGATGCAATTTTTATTTTTACAATTGTTGAAAAAAGTTTATACGTGATGTTAATTAGTTTTGATCTACATAGTCCATCATACAACCCAAGGTCACATGCCCAACATACGATTGGGCAGCACTTCATAATTTTTTTTTTAAATAACAAATAAATTTTTATCCCTTAAACCGTAGAAGTCACAAATATGTGACTTAAGAGTACAGATTATTATTACCCTAATCAAAAAAAAAAAAAAAAATTACATAGTGATAATAATCGCACAAAATAACAGTCAGACAAGATTTCATGCTTACTGATTTTACTATGTGATTGACATAGCACATTTTCTGTACAACAGACTTTGAAGGAAGAATTGAATACAAGATTATAAATAAACAATTTTTATGCTTCTAAATAAATAGAATC